TGTGTGTGGGCACATCTATGTGGGTGTGCACCCTGCTTGACACCGTGGTGTGTGACAGCCAGCCAGTGACGCTGAGTGTGACGTTGCACGTTGGTCTTATGGGAGCCAGAGGAATGGGTAGGCATATGACGCGCGCGCGCGCGCACACACACACACACACACACACACACACACACACACACACAACATTGTGTTAGAGAGATAGCTAGACCCACAGCGGGTCTAGCTATCTCTCCCACTGAGCCAGATGACAATCAGCATCATAACGTTGCCACTGTCTCCTGACTCTGAATCAGTTGTTTAGTAACTTCATCAGCCCACTAAATGGACTTGCAGATGTATGAACCACAGCTCGCTCACATTTGATATAAGGTTTCCGATACAACTTTGGACAAAAAGACCCCTCACAAAGTCGACGCTTGATTCATATCTTCCCGTTTATTCACACAAGTGGGCTGTTTGAGTACGTGTGCAGGCACATTCACAGTGGAACAGTGTTGCCCATTCTCACACTCAGCCTATTCTCCTCTCCTGTCACTGACAATGCACAGTACTGGTGACGGCATCTACGGCCTTCCTCGTATTGTCCCACGCAAGGGCCGTGAGGCTGCAGCTGCTTCACTCATTTGACACTTCACTCATATGAAATCTGTAAGTTAATGTTCATTACAGTAATATATGTGGTAATTGGCACTGATGTACAAAAAAACAGGCAGGTAAGCTACAGCCAGAAATGTAATGACCCAAAGAAGTTTACAGGTCTTGGAGAGTACTACTGCATATGTGAAAAAAGGTTATATAAAGCCTTCTGTGTCACTTGAGTCAGCATTGGTTGGGGCTGAAGACTACAGGTTTGATTTTTTTCTTTTAAGTCTGGGTGTGTGCAGTTAGAAAGACATTTTTGGATTAATTGTTGGAAACAAATATACAGTATACACAATAAACAACGAGAAATACAGAGGAAGCAAACTGAATTTATGGTGGGACCCATAGAAGAAGAAATTAACCACTTTGAACTTGAACCTTACAGATCCAGCGTACATATAGCCTGCCGGGGTTAGAGGTCTTCCTAGATAGGTATTAATGTTAATTTGATAGATTTTGTGTTGTTATATAAACAAGAGGTTACAGTACACATGACTGGTTACACTCACCAGACTTTGTATCCAGCTTCTTATCTCTGCTCTTGGCTAGCTGCTTGAGGCTACATCACAGTCCATGGGCTACATTAGCCGTTACTAGCATAACACACCTGAAAAAATCGAGTTTCATTGTGGGTAATGTAGACATTTGACAAGGACGAATGTGTGGAATAAAAAAAAAGCGACATATCTGGTTTAACACATCAGTTTTGACTGAAAACATCACAGGGCTGCAATGCTAAATCACCAGGGTAGACCTACTATTTTCAATAACACGTTCACACCTCCAAACTTTTTATGATGAGAGCCAATCTTAACAGGACTTAACAGGACATGTGAAATCATTGCTCTGGGCAAAATGCATTTTAAAGTTTAAAGTTTTATCTGAGTTAGTCAAACAAAGTGTGAATCTTCCAAGGTCACGGTCTTTTTATAGTGAAGTTCTCTTCAAGTGTTACCATACCATCTGGCATCTGTTAAACTGGATATAACTAGATGTTATGAAGGAATCTGGTCACTGCCAGTATGGACAATTACAGTGACCAATAACTCTTTCAGTGTGCATGTGTAGGTGTATTGTTTTAAGACAGACATGAAAAAATGTGAAACTATAATTCAAACTAAAGTAAAATAAAATAGCTGGCGTGCAACCATAACAACAAGGAAGTTAATAACCATTTGCATGGCCTGTTTCAATAAAGCACAGGTGTGCTAAGGAATGCAATCAGACAACACCCACACAATACAGAAACAATATCCAAGACATCCATTTTGTTTTCTAAAAATGTTTTTTACTTAGTTACTAAACAAAAGTAATTCAGAAAAAAAATACAGAATAGGAATTTAAAAAGTGATAATAAAATAAAATGACTTAAAAGACTACATAGGGATTTATATCCATTTCATTTTCACAAAAAAGAATACAAAAATAAAACCCTAAAACAACATCGCAATAAAATAAGAGTAAAAGGTTAATAGTATTCATTTTATTTTGAAAAATCATTAATCAATATCTTTTTTTAAATAATAGGCTACATAAAAGCAATATATCAGTAAACTCTTAAAAAGAAAATAGGTCACGAGTGCTATGAATTTTATAGGAAAGTGAAAAAATCACAAGCCTGCATCTGAGCGCGCACATTGTTGTCAGTCAGATGAAAGTCGGACATAAAGACAGGAGGAGGAGTTTAAACGGACTGTTGTGAGTGCAAGAAGGAGGAGTTCGGTCATTCAGTAGAAGAAGGGAAAGCCTGCTGCAGACAGAGGAGGAGGATTTGGAGTTTGGAGTGGAGCAGACGAAAGTGTACGCGGTGAAAGAGAAGACCATTTTCAGCGAGGATCTTGGATAAGGCTATATATATATATATATATATATATATATATATATTTTTTTTTTTTCTTAAAAGGAACTCATCTTCTTCTTCAGTTGGCGGATTATTCCTGAGCTCTGATGCTGTCCCCGGATCATGAAAGAAACGCTCACCATGAAATTCGCCTGGAAAACTAAAATGGTAAAGACCAAACAAAAAAAGCGCAAGGTTTGCACCCTGTGCTCTGTTGTTGAGTTTGTGGTTTTGAAGAGAGGGGGCAGAGGGAGGGGGCTGAAAAGAGGGGCGGGGGTTGTAGGCTTGGGAAAGTAGAGGATAAGGGGAAAAGAAGAGGAGGAGGGGGGCGTGAGGGATCAGTCAGCAGTTTAACATTGAGTTTTAATTGTTTTTAGCCTACTATGCTTTAAATCCCGGTTAACCTACATTGTTGGTGCGCAAAGATGTCGCGCAAAGTTGGGGAAACGTGGGGAAGGGTCGACCATAGAATTGAAAAAAATCCCTTGCCGACTCCGCCAGAATATGAACTCGATCCGCTATAGCTCTCCCCTCCCTGGTGGTGCATATGAAAACTTTTGTCTGGGGGCCCGCAGTGAAACGAGGGAGGGAACAATTGGCGTGGCCCCTGTCTCTCCACGGGTCCCAGCTGCGTCCAGGGTAGAAAAACACAAAAGCCAATAGATCAGCGCCAGAGATTTAACACAACTGTTGTTGTTGTTGTTATATTGGATCTATTGTTTCACACACATCTGATAGCACTGAGCAGAGATAGAGAACTATTTGCCTCTCTGCTGTCCTTAATGTCCTCCCTGTGAAGTCTTTGAGCATCTTCTGTGGAAGGATCCAAGTTGACACATCTCCTGTTTACACTATACCCAGGGTCATTTGATATACTGTGTTCTGTGTAAACCCATCCCTATCACTGTGACCGACTGTTTTGGTTTCTATGGAACTTTGTCTCGCAATAAGCCCTCAACTTGGTGTACAAAGCGGGCTGAGCAACCGCCCCCCCCCCCCTCCTTTTTAAACCCCGCTCTGAAAAACATCTCCACTTTTGTGGCTGACAAAAAGCAGGCTGTATGCAGACTGTGAACTCAGCAGCCCGGGCCGGCCAGCATAGAGACCTCCCGCTATTGTTTTGGGAGCGTGTGGACTGCATGACTCATGCAGTGATGTATTTATCTGTCTCTGCGCCAGCCATCCATCCAGCCGGCAACCATCAGCAGCTAAAGAGGAAGGGGGAGAGGCAGAGAGACATGCGCTTACTAAAGTTGCTGACCATAAGACAAGATGCTGAACAGGGTAGGGGACGGGCATGTAGACGTGTGTCAGACAAGTGCAGCTTATAATATCCAACAACACAGACAGACTTGCTGGTTTCATCTCTCAGAGCCAGTTAAAATCATATTACATTACTTCTCCTCTCCCTTTCTCTTTGTGTTTTTAAATTTTATTATTTGGGCTTTCTTTTCATCCTGGCATCACATGTTTCTGTTCAAACCCAAACACAGCCTAGTCATGGCCACCATCCTCCAGAACCGTACATTAAGCCTGTTAACGGCGACTTTGACCCATGACCTGTTTTCTGGCAGCCCTTCTGTTGATGGAATAGCGTGGGCTTTGCCATTGAGCTGTGTAAATGGAAGTGGGGACAAGTGAGAGTGATCTTGGCTGCTGCAGCCTCTGTGTGTGTGTGTGTGTGTGTGTGTGTGTGTGTGTGTGTGTGAGGACTTGGCCATAGTACTGCATGCGTGGTGTTTATATTTGGCCAATCTCTCTCCCTCTTTGCTGTCCCTGCCTTTGCTTTTGTCTCTGTCTCCAAATGTTGATGTCTCAGCAGTGTGTTTGCCGACGACTCTCTCTGAGCAGGAGTTTTGTGTTTTGATTTCACTCTGCTCCCTCTGTTTGTTTATGCACTCATCTGTTTGACAGGATTTACAACCAGAGGCAGACGCAGTACATGTGCAAAATGAGCACAAATCCATTTAGGCTTATGACTATCTTGGCTTGTATAATAGGGAAGGCAAAACAGACAAAGGCATGTCAACTGCGTCAAAAAAATGGTGCATATGTCCTGTTTTTATTATGTAGGGACTTGTTTGAGAGACCTCATCCATTCTGGATCTTATCTCCAGCTCCAGGAAAGCGCCCAGCTCTGACTTCAGCTCCAGAGAGGCTGGGACACAGTGAAAGAGATGGATAGGGAATAAAAGGGGGAGTAAAGACACAGAGGGAGGCCTGGCCGGCTGCAGCTGTGGGGGTTGGGGAGTTGGTCATTCTTGATGTTTTACTGCACTTTAGTCCTACTTTTACTTGTTTGTTTGAGTGCTGTGGTTGTGTTTCTGTGTTTTCCCCCTTGTTCTTCCTTCTGCTTTTCTCAGAGGTTTACAAAAAAAAGTCAATTCCTTTTTTGTTAAACTATGACACTTGTTGTGGAAGTTAGCTCTGCGGCTTACAATGTTCAATCCCAAACACAACTTTCCTCACTTCTCGAGGTTTCTAACATTTTTCCCCCTTACCCTCCTTTTTTCAGAGCTCAGTGCAGGACTGGGGGGAGGAAGTCGAGGAAGGAGCCATCTACAACGTGACACTAAAGAGGGTTCAGATTCAGCAGGCGGCCAACAAGGGAGCAAGATGGCTAGGGGTGAGTCTGATGTCTCGCACTGTGACAGAATCACAGCTGACAAAGCTTTTTCAAAGTATAGAGTCATGATCCATGCAAACCCTCAGCGAAACAGATCACACACAGGAAAACCTTATGCCTTAAGCAGACTGAGTCTTTCAATTGTGGGGCGTCTCTCAGCATTGTGCTCCACCAGGGCTGTTGTTTTAACATTTGAGCTATAAATCTCCCAGTTTAGACAACAGCTCTTTAGTTGCCTGCTGAAAATCAACAGTTTCGCCAGACCTGGACTGCTTAAAGCATGTGATTTCCTGACTTTCCCAGCTGCCAACAAAACTGCTCACTACCCTGGACAGCAGTGTTTTATAAAATGCTGGTATGACAAAATAAAAGGGGTATTAAAGGCTTTTCCTTGAGTTGTGCATATGAGGCATTGCTCTTTCCTCCACTGAGCTGTTTATACCGGTATAATAAGATGTTGTGCAGTATATTATTATACTGCACAGAAGGGCCAATTAAGGGGCATTACCCTTAGTTTCTCTTGTGTATTTTCTCAGTAAATACTAAAGGAATGCATGGACCTGGCATAACAGAAATTGCAAATCAGATTAATGGGGTTTTCCTTTTGTTTACAAGAAAGAAAATCTTGTGTTGTTAGTTTGCTGTCTCTTTGTGCTTGACACGAGGGATGGGGGATTGGCACAGAGAAGAAATAGATCACAGCTCTAGGCTTTAAAACTGTATTGATGTATTGACAGTTGACTGTATTCAAGCTAATTAAAACAACATGGGTACTTTATACAGTGCAGTATATTGAGTCAAATAGAATATAGAGCAAACCCCATTGAGACATCAGATATTTACTATAAACAGTCAATTGTGACTGAATAACCACAATTAGTGGGATTGTAAGCATGTATACTGATGTATTGTTTACTGTGTGTGTGTGTGTGTGTGTGTGTGTGTGTGTGTGTGTGTGTGTGTGTGTGTGTGTGTCAGTGTCAGTGGCTTTTCTAATTCATTGTGAATTGTAAAATTGAAGCCTGTGTGTGACTGTGAATTCACAGAGATAAATAAAGGTATTTCTTGGTGCACTGAGTTGTTATCAGAGGGGAGAGGTGGGAGAACTTGGCTGTGCTGCTGTCCTCCTCTCTGTCTGGAGGGACGGTAGAGGGGCCTGCTGTGATTAAAAGCAGATTGGAGCGTTTCCTGTTGTAGCGTGCTAACTTCACCACGGCCTCTTTCTCTCCGTTTCTGTGCCACCTCTTCGTCTACTCTCTCCCCGCCTGTTGGGTAACCACTCGTTCTATTTCCCTGTAGCCACAATAGTCGGACACATCTGGAGAATTCTGAATTAAATATAGGTCATGATCCCCCCCCCCCCCCCATTTTGTTTTTGTCCTCTAATGAATTGTTCCACTCCTAACTAACCACCACTAACTTTTTAAAGCTTAACAACCAAGACGACCTGACACATTAAAAGTATCTAAAGCCAAACAAAGTAAAGAAAATCTTTGGAAGCACCAGCCGAGTCATAATGCACTCCTCAGTTTGATTCACACTAGTTTAACGGTGTAAAAATATTTGTGTGTTTAGGCGGAGGGCGATCGTCTACCTCCCGGCCACACGGTGAGCCAGCTGGAGACCTGCAAAATCCGAAGTATCCGCGCTGGAACCCTGGAGCGTCTGGTGGAGACATTATTAACAGCGTTCGGTGACAATGACCTCACCTACACCTCCATCTTCCTGTCCACCTACAGAGCCTTCACCTGCACACAGACTGTACTGCAGCTACTGTTAGACAGGTAGGGCTTAAATTCAAAATAATGTATGGACTATATGTTTGAGGGATTTTTTTTATCTTTTTAGTAATTTTGTTTTTTTCTGTTCCAGGTATGGAAGTGTGGAAGAAAACGAGCAAGACACAGCCAGACGCCAAGGCTCTGAAACCAATGGAGCCATCAGAAAGTGAGACATCTTCATCGCTATTAGTTCCATATGGATGGCTTTCAATACATAACATTTTACCTTCAGCAGTATAGCTGAATTATCACACCTGTCTTCCTATCATTGCCAGCTCTTTTGACACTCAAATTTTTCCCTGCTGTCTCCAGTGCCCTGGCCTCTATCCTGCGTGCCTGGCTAGACCAGTGTCCCGAAGACTTCCAGGAGCCTCCTGACTACCCTTGTCTCCACAGATTGATGGACTACCTGCGCAGGGCCCTGCCAGGCTCGGAGGCTCTTAGACGGGCAGAGGGTCTGCTGGAGCAGCTGCAGAGTCAGGCCAGCATGGACGACACTGATGGTAAATAACTTATAGTTCTTTGTTCTGTACAGTATTGATTATCTTTTCATATTAAATTTGAAACTTCCTCCAAGTCAAATCATCTGTGTTTGCCTGATTTCAGCTGGTTTCCATGGCAACAGTTCTTTCTGCCTGGGGGAGGAGGAGGAAGTAGAGATTGAGGTCCAGGAGGACTTCCTGTCGTTTGAGGCCGACCTGGTGGCTGAGCAGCTGACCTACATGGACGCGGTAAGTGGAGGGAAATGAGATGGAAACAGGGTGTGCAGGACGGAAAGGTTACACAGGTTTGCATCCCTGCAATGTTTCTTCAGTGTCGTCATACTAACATCCGCCTGTTTTTCTGCTCTAGCTGCTGTTTAAAAAGGTTGTACCCCACCACTGCCTGGGCTCTATCTGGTCCCAGAGGGACAAGAAGCACAACAAGCACAGCGCCCCCACCATTCGAGCCACTATTACGCAGTTTAATGCTGTGGCAGCATGCGTGGTCAGCACAGTGTTGAAACAGAGACAGATCAGACCACATCTCAGAGCACGGGTCATCCAGCGCTGGATAGACATCGCTCAGGTTGGCACCAAACGCACACAAATTCATCTATAAACCCACCACAAAAATGGGCCAAGCTCTGACCGTCCTTGTGCTAATTGTCTTCTAACAGGAGTGTCGAATACGCAAAAACTTCTCGTCTCTGCGAGCCATTGTGTCTGCGCTGCAGTCCATCCCGCTGTACAGACTGAAAAGGGCATGGGCCTGTGTGCACAAGTAAGCCTCCGATCTCTCAAATATGCAGAATCTCAATGAGTCTCGATAGAAGAATCCGCCCTTTGGCAGCATTCAACAGGATGTATTTTAGCTAACATGTATCTGTGTTCTACACAGAGACAGCATGCAGACATATGAAGAACTGTCGGACATTTTCTCCGATCACAACAACTACCTGACCAGCAGAGAGCTCCTAATGAGGGTGAGATCTAACTTCAACAACGATTACATGTCTATGACATTACGAATGAGTACATTTAGTATCCTCGTGTGTAGATATCATCTGGGAATCCTGAAAACACAGACAGGAACTGTATTTTAATTTTTTTTTGTGCCCTACAGGAAGGCACTTCAAAGTTTGCCAGTCTGGAGAGTTGTGCCAAGGAGCACCAGAAACGCACCCACAAGAGACTACAGCTGCAGAAGGAAATGGTGAGACAAAGACTGGCTAACTGATTTGCAACAAACGCCAGACAAATGGATTTTTTTCCCAAAGAGAGCTAAAACAGAGCTCTTTGATTTTAAACAACACATTCCTCTAAAGCAATGTACTGTAAAGTGAGTTCTAGCCTCTCCAGTATGACTAAGCCACATGCTCAGTGTTGTTTACTCAGTGTACTATGTGCTGTACTTGCATTGAGCCTGTGTTGTATTTTCCAAAACCCACCCTGGCATCTATAAACCACTGTGTAAATGAGTCTGTCTCTGGCTTTATTGTGGCATCCTTGAAGTGTTTATTTAAACCAAGTGTGGTTTTGAAGATATCGTAAAGCTGTCTTTCTCCACAGGGAGCAATGCAAGGAACGATACCGTACTTGGGGACTTTTCTCACCGACCTGACCATGTTGGATACGGCCCTGCCTGACCTAGTAGAGGTAAGAAAAAGTCTTTGACACCTGCCGAATGTGTGTGCGTTTCGATATTTGAGGAGCACGCGTCTGCGAGTTTACACAACCGCGCAGATCTGAGAGTCTGTCTGTGCAACCGCTGTCAGAAACTGTAGCGTAAGTTTCCATGAGTGTGTAAGGAATTTTGTCGGCCCATTTTTGGAGTGGTCCACCTAATGCTGTTTGTCTAAGCAGCCGCTGGTATGTGATGTTCAGGGTCTGACAGCGTGCTCTTTGTGTCCTCCGCAGGGTGGGCTGATCAACTTTGAGAAGAGACGCAGGGTGAGTGTAGCTGCAAGCGGCCTCCTTTGATTACACCAAGACAATTATCGCATGACGAGCTCAGCCCACAGTGTTTGATGTAATGTTGGCATCCTTCTCTCCGTCTCTGCAGGAGTTTGAGGTGATCGCTCAGATCAAGCTGCTTCAGTCGGCTTGTAACAGCTACTGTCTGAGGCCAGAGCCGGCTTTCCTCCGCTGGTTTAAGAGCCAGCCTCAGCTCAGTGAGGAGGAAAGGTACTGCTGCTTTACTCAGAATACCTTCTTCCACTCTTGATCGCACCGTTATTCATTCAATAAAAGGCAAATTAGTGCATGAGGTCACAGTCTGTTGGATCTATTGTTAAAGACAAACACACAATAGAAGCTTCTTTCTGTCCTTTCTCCTTGCCTCTCCCTGCTGTTCTTCTGTCATGTCTTCATTCCCTACTGATCTATTGTATTGTACTAACCTTCTTGCCTGCTCTGACTTTTCTCTTCCCCTTTCTCATACTCAGAATTTGTGGTTCTCAAAACCAACAGGCACATGATTTGGCAATGTTTTATGATGTGTAGGGTTAATTATCAATGTTCCCTCTTGCAGCTACGCCTTGTCCTGTGAGGTGGAAGGTCTTGGTGACAGCAGCCCAACCTCACCTAAACCTCGAAAAAGCATGGTGAAGAGACTCAGCCTGTGAGTACATCCAGACAATAGATGTCAATATATCAAAATATCAAAATGCCTGAAATGAAGTGAAGACTGCTTTGAAGACGTGTCACATTTGAGATGTCCCACTGTAACGTTCAAGCGCTGAATTGCTGTGACCTATTTATTATATTTTAATATCTAATAACTTACTTTCTCTACTTTCCAGGCTGTTTCTTGGAACAGACAGTAATGCGGCCAGTTCTCCAGTCAGAGAGATGCCGCGCTCGCCTCCTACTGGCAGCTCAGGGGAGAGCATGGACTCAGTCAGCGTGTCTTCCAGTGACTCCAGCAGCCCGTCAGACAGCGAGGGCCTCACTCCCACTCACACCTCCGAATCCCAGCAAAAGGTGGTTACAACACTAATGAAATGCTTAGGGGCTGTTTGAAAATGATTGGTGTGGGGAGGGGAGCGGAGCTGAATTTTGTGTTTCAAGGCCGTCTCCAGTTTTATTAATCTAATCTAATCAACACCCTTCCCCAAATATCTCAAAGTAATATAACAAAATAATGAAAAAACACTTTTGAATTGGTACAATCATGGACACAGGAAGTAGGGGTGCTGAGGGGGGCTGCAGCACCCCCTAAAATCAGGCATAATAAATCCACCAAACTTATAATAAATTTATTTTTATGGAATTTTTATTATATTTATATTGCACTAATATTTGTGGCTTGTTCATTAACTCATTAATACGTATTAGTCATTAATACGGAAACAACCTCATTTCCAGGCCTGATTAAAGCAAGACAGTTCGGCTTGTATCACACGCCATCACTTGAAGGTGTAGAGAGAGAGAGAGAATGGGATTGATTGATGTAGTTTGTATGATGCTTTGGCAATATTGTTGTTACACATTCATGCCAATGAAGCTAATTTGAGAGAGAGAGAGATCCTCCAAGTGCTGTCTCACTCCCTCTTCCTCCCCTCTTGCATTTGCGTTAGCTCAGTGTTGCTGTGGCGTCTTTACATGCAGTATGAACAGGTGTTCACGTTTGCTGTCTGCTATAATTGGCATCCCTGGGTACAATTCACTTTGCTGTTAATAACTGAAATTGCACCAAAAAAAATTAAGATGCCGTACAAAACCTTAGACCTTAATTTGCTAATGGAATAATCATGTTTACATCGTCACAACATCACATAACACAAGTAGAATTAGCAATTGACAAAGTATGGAAAGCATGACATAATTATGCATACTGTTTACTGAATAATTTCCCCCCCCCACTCACCTCAGATGTCTCCAATTTAGTTATCAGTTAATAGTTCGGTGCATTTGTGGGGGGAAAAAAGGTTCCAGTTTGGTTTTGTGCATCTAACTTCTGATTATATGATTCCTCAGCTATCGGAATCCTCCTCTTGTACTTCACTCCACTCCATGGACACCAGCTCGTCGACGGCCAGTGTCTCCCTGACTCCCGCATCTCCTTTACTCCCCGGGCTGCCCTGCACCCACAGACGCTCCATCTCGCTCACACCCATATCCCCTTGCTCCCCGAGCCAAACCCCAGCTTATAACACTCAGGCCCAAGATGCGTGCATCATAAGGGTCAGCCTGGAGCATGGCAACGGGAATCTTTACAAGAGCATATTGGTAAATAAATATGCGTGTTTGTGTTCCTGTGTACACAATATATGTTAAAGCCTGTGTGAGTAATTCTTTTGTCTTTTCCCTAAATAGTTGACCAATCAAGACAAGACTCCGGCTGTAGTTTCTAGAGCCATGGCAAAGCACAACCTGGAGGTGGAGCCAGAGGAGGGATACGAGCTGGTACAAGTCATCTCTGAGGAGAAAGGTAAAAAAACCCATCTGTGTCTGTGGTCGTTTTCTATGCATGTATACCTTTTTTCTCATTCTTCAAACCTACACTTTCTCAACCAGAGGTACCTAGCTACATGTTGTGCTCTCCACAAACTGATCCAGCTTGTACATATTTGCCTGAATCTTTCATAGACATTCAATCCGAGGCTTAGACTCAGATATTTACAGTGAATACAGTAAGCAGAAGCTGTTGCAGCCGTTATTATATAAACACAATGATGAAACACCCTTTGTATTTGCAATTCAGCATTTTAATTATTATAATTGTTTTTCCGCTGATCAGCAGTTTTCCAAACTTCATGAACCGCAACGACCCATGTATTGCTGACAAAAACTAAAATAAGATTAACAGCAAGAGCTTTAACCATACTCATAATGATTTTTCTCCCCACTCTTATCTTCTTTCAGAACTGGTGATCCCAGACAACGGCAATGTCTTCTATGCCATGAACACCTCAGCCAACTTTGACTTCCTGCTGCGGGTGCGGGGCTCAGCGCGTCGGACAGTCCAGCTGCGAAGCCGGTGTAGCTCCACACTGCCCCGCAGCCAGCACCGCTCGAGCCTGTCGCTCAGACTCAGCAAGGTCACGCTGTGACCCCTGAGCCGCAGGGACACAGCTGTTTGCCCTTACGCCACTAACCCAGGACAATACAAAGCATGGACTGGAGGAGGCTGGATGGACACATGGATGAGGAGCACTGGAGGACTGCTGGTGGATCAAATGAGTTTTCAGACTCTTTAGGAGCTTTGACTCTTACCCGTTTCTCGCCATGAACTGTGTCATCCCGTCTTGTCCCTTTGTCCAGCCTTAATATGGAACATGGGTGTGTAGCGTGACTGCTGTGCCAGTTGGACTTGACATTTGACTAGTGATGCCTGACAAACAGAGTGAAACAGCGACCCCAGGTGGCCTACACTCTTTAGAACAACAGGTTTTTGCACATGTTAACAGGAGCAGCCAGACTCCTGACCTCCAACAGTATTCTGATATTGAATGAACTTCTTTTTGTCATGTGATGTCTGTGCAGTTTAATATTTACTTTTCTAAGTATTAGATGTGTGATGAATGCAGAAAGAGGAGATGGATGGTGGGATGGAAGGAGAAGTGGACTGAGTGTCAAGTCCTGTTGCCTTGATTAATGAATGAATGGACCTCTGACAGTATTCTGAATGATATTGATTGACAGGAGCTGTTATGTCATTATTTTCTCTAGTTGGGCGTGTTTAGCTGCCATGCCCGGCTCGTGCACAGTGTGCATGTTGTGTGTGTCTTCACCCCTCTATTGTGAGCTGTGTGACGAATGCATCGTTGTGTGCATTCGATTGGTTCCATTACTTGGTTTTAACAAGTCCTCGGCAAATATTTTAATGGCCTTACTGCCCTATCTTTAGGGTGTAGAGATTAAAATTTGTGCTGCTTTCCAATCCAGAAAGACGTTCCCTCACATCCTTGCATTATCAGACTTGTTTAAAAATGATATGAATGAAGATATAAATGTACAAGAACAGAGAAAAGGAGAGGAACTGACTTCCTGGAATTGAAAACACCATGCAAAGTGTCTCAAACTGATGTATACTTGTACCTCTTTGCCCTTATATATGTGGAGTTGCACTTGTCAGTTGGTAGGAAATGCCAATGGGATGTGAATACAGAAGAATGAGCAAGCCACTCTGTAAGTGGTTTTCTCCCTCTTCACTAAATGAATTACTATTTTTCTTTGTAATTGTTGCTTTTTATATTTTTTGTAACAAAATTCAGGCCAGAAATGTATGCCAGGTTGGAGAGTGATGGAGGATTTATTTTAAGAGTACCCAACAAAAAAAGACAGTGCCAGATTTTACTGTCATACATTTGGAAATCTTTACTGAGGGACACTTCACTTCACTTCACACACCCCAAAATCCAAACACAGTAAACAAC